AATAACAATAACAATAACAATAACAATAACAATAACAATAACAATAACAATAACAATAACAATAACAATAACAATAACAATAACAATAACAATAACAATAACAATAACAATAACAATAACAATAACAATAACAATAACAATAACAATAACAATAACAATAACAATAACAATAACAATAACAATAACAATAACAATAACAATAATTATTAACTATAAAATTTAATATCCAACAATAAATAACAATCCGTTGTAGTCTAGTTGGTTAGGATACTCGGCTCTCACCCGAGAGACCCGGGTTCAAGTCCCGGCAACGGAATGTTTCTTTTTGGTATTTAAAATAATACGCAAAACATTTATGTTAATTTTCGACTTTGTATGTAAGAAATGAATGAGTGCAAAACGTTTTTGGTATTTGAAACAATACGCAAAACGTTTATGTTTATTTTCGACTATGTATGCAAGTGGTTTGGTTTTCATATCCGAGGATAAGGGTCTTTCTTGGTCTTCTTTAACAAGTGACTAATGGACGAAACAAGAATATGTAATTTCCCACATCAGATCGATTCTGAAGCAGCGTGAGAACGAGAAAACCAGAAGAACAAAATCCTTTGGAGCGAAAAGATCATAGGCAATAGAAGTTCTACTTGCAGCGATGGGCATGAAAACGATTATGGTAAGCGGTAAAGATAGAGAGAGAGGGGGAACGACGGCCCACCATTACTGGACGAAGAAGCCGAGGGCGTTCGTTCCACTTGCCACAAGTCCCTCTCCTCCCCTGCTGGGAGAACCGACATCAGCGTCGAGGAGTACTCGAATGCCTCGTCTCCAAGGCGGCTATCCTCGCCCATCCTGGTGGCGTCCCCGCCCTTCTTGCCCCTTTTCTTGAGGGACCGGAAGCGGGCGTGGGATGACAGGCCCTCCCTCGCACGCGCGACGTGCATACGGCGATGAGGAGTCGTCTCGCTGCTGGCCGACGAACACATGGAATGCCCCGGCCATGTTGGAGATCAAGGAGAGATCGGCTAACACACCAAGAAAACATCAAAAACAAGAACGCCTCTTTTTACTTGGTTGGGATGCAGTTATTCCCAAACTGGTAAACTGGAGAAATAAAGTCTTCCAACCATCGCATCAGAGGCCGACAAATGCTTACATAAGATACATAGTAGAAGGAATGTTAATTTTGCTTTCTCCATCTTAAAATGTATGGCAAAAGATTCCAATTGCAGGAGGAGAGTCGACACTAACCAGTTTCAAGTAATCTCATCAGTAGAACAGTGGCCTTTCACACGAATTGCATTACACCTTTACTTGTGATCGAATTGCAAAAATAATACTGCGTACTTAAACCAATACACTGTAAAATATCCAATAACAAGAATAGCTCGAAACGAAACATAAAAGACGAGCTGAGAAAGGCGGGTGACATACCCTTGGTGACACAAGTTGCTCCAATAAAGACAGCGTAGTCATATGGATCTCCTATCCTTGGAACTTCTTCTATCACACAACACATAAAGATAGCGTAGTCATACATATATTACTAATGAAGACAAACAAGAATCCAATCTTCGGAAAATAATGGTTTGCCCAGTACGGTTGTCCACAGAGCAAGAAGAGAGGAATGTTCAAAAAGCAGAAGATTCTCACAACACCTATTTAAAGGTAGATTCTACATTAATGATCATAAGTAACTAAATCAAGATCACTGGTCATCTCCTGATTCCTTCTTTGGAGCTTCCTTGATCTCATCAACATCCTCCTGTCCAGATTAATAACTAGTTAGAAAAAACCACATGGTTCCTCACCGATGAATGAAATAAACTGACCGTCATATCAGACGTCCACAATGTCAAGTTGTCTCGGAGAAGCTGCATAATCAACGTACTGTCCTTGTACGATTCCTCACCTAAAGTATCAAGTTCAGAGATAGCCTCATCGAAAGCCTGCAATTGACACCCGAGTATTAGCTTCAAACAAGATGAACCAGTGAAATAAAAAAATTACTTGTTTCTCGAAATTAACACTCCTTGAGCTCAAATCAGCAAAAGTCATGGCAACAAGTCCAATCACTGACGAATTGTAAGTTTAAGGAAACTTGAAGATTTTAGTAACTCGAAGAAATAAACATCATGTCAAAAATGACAGACAGAAAAGATTAGATATAGCACATGAAATCTATCCGTAGTAATCAAACAAGAATTTTCTGTTATTGCAAGAACAAGTAAATATTCTACATGTAATCACATCGAATATGTGTCATGTCTTAAATTTAGATGTGTTCCAAACATAATATATACAAGATAAATGAAGCTTTTGGCTCACTACAATAGTATAGAGATTCACTGCAAACGTGACCAATTGGTCAGAGGGCTTTCTTTTGGGTAGAATAAGCTTCCAAATGCAATCTCAAACAATTTTCAGATCCATTACTACCTTGTCTGTTATTGCCCCACAGTAAAGTTGAAGACATTAAGTGCATTTTTCAGCCTTTTCTATAACCAACTCTTACAGCAAAACACCTTTTTTTAGTTGACTTGCTAAAATTCGAAACAAGATTTTTGCCAAATAGAAGTCCCCCGAATAACTTTAAAAGGGCCAATGAAACTTCTGACAGCATGTGACTCATTAGAGAATTTTAGACGAATTGTGAATTTTAACTCAATCTGCCTACTGGTCTACGGAAGCCAGTCCTTAGCATTCACCTACATGGAACCAAACTTCACAGACACATAAATGCAATCAGATAATCCACAAAGTATATTACTCTTGCAATAATTACAAAAGAAATTAATACTAAAAAATCGATTATTACACGATTACAAACACTGTTAAGAAATTCTGCAATTAATATTCATGTGTATACAAAGTCAATGCACTAAAAGGGCAATCTGAATTCAGTTGTTGTAGTTTCATATCTCATATTTCTACTACATTTTAGATTGGACTTAATTGAGAACCAGTTTAGTTTTACGGAGGCCTCTATAAAACTTCCACAAGGGGACATTTAGATGTCAATTAACATCACATTAACACAGATAAAGTAATGAAACATGCATGTAAATCAAGCGAAGGGAAGTCAAAGACAAACCTGCTTTGCAAGGCTGCAAGCACGGTCTGGTGAGTTAAGAATCTCATAATAGAACACAGAGAAGTTAAGCGCCAGACCAAGTCGTATTGGATGAGTTGGGGCCAGTTCAGCTACAGCAATATCCTGTGAAAGATTTCTTGAATGTCATAATTTGAACCTAAATTTACAAGGATGACTTAGAAGAAGATAATAAAGAGAATTTTAACGTGGAAAATATGCGGCAAACAAACAGCGATGTAATGAGTTATCATTATTACACTCGCATCCATTTATATCTAAAGCAAAAGAATGGCCTAGTACACATGTCTCCTGCCAATGCAAAATGTGAGAGTTTGATCACAATCTTAGGCCTGCAATCAGACAGGCCATTTACATGACTTGAACTCAGGTCACCAGGTTGTAACATTACATTATGCCAAAGCTCACCCTGACATTCATGCATGTATGGTATCTATGAAATGAAAATGATTTTGTTAAAACCAAGGTAGTTACTGAAAAGAAGCATCTCAATGCAGGTGATGGGAAATTAAAATAAAAAAACATAAAACACCAAAATGAAGACTGAAAATAAATGCTTCCTCTGCAGAACTGATTCGACTGTAGTTTATCCATTAAAAAGTCTTAGCCTATACCAGAGTGGTTCCATAGTTGATTGTTCCTTTTGTTTTCCTCATACACCTGGAATAAGTTACATCACATACACTTGTTTTGCCAATAGGAGAACATTGTTTTCTTAGCATTCCACTGGATTACTTCAAAAGAAAGAGAATGGAAATTGAAGAATCAGCAAAAGATTAACACATTACGAGCACACACCTGCGAAGATTTGTAAGCCAACAGAGTGCTCTCAGCTGCTTCTTTCCTCTCAGCTCCAGTCTTGAACTCTGCAAGGTACCTGAGCACAGCCCCAGAACAAAAATCATGATTAACAATAAATTTAAACTTTGCGGCAGAAACTTATTCTTGGCATGCTTCGTCTAACCTGTGGTAGTCACCCTTCATCTTAAGGTAGAACACCTTGGACTCCGCCGCGCTCGCAGAGGGCACCAGGTGGGAATCAAGCAGCTTCAAGATCCCATCGCAGATCTTGCTGAGTTCAGCCTCGACCTTCCCACGATACTCCTTGATCAGCACGACATGCTCCTCGTTGCCGCGGCTCTCCTCCTTCTGCTCGATGGAGGAGATGATGCGCCACGAGGCGCGGCGAGCTCCGATCACGTTCTTGTAGGCCACCGAGAGGAGGTTGCGCTCCTCCACCGTAAGCTCCTCCACATTAGCCGTCTTCACCACCTTCTCCATGAACTCCACCATCTCCTCGTACCGCTCCGCTTGCTCCGCCAGCTTGGCCAAGTACACATTCTCCTCGCGCGTCGATTCCACCGGAGACATTTTGCTAGATCTCTATCGAAGAATATACTCTCTCTGACGAAATCACAAACACCAGATCGACATAAAGATGATGCTTAATTTAATCCATCAAAAGGACCGGATCCTAAAATTTCTTCCCGAGAAACGAAACTTCCCATCTTAGCATTGAAGAAGAAATTTAGCCCCAGAAAACACAAATGCGATGGTAAAACGATTCCCAAAAGACAAAATTGTCCGGATCCATCGACGAGGGATCAAAAGAAACGAGAGCAAGCGGAGGAATGATACCCTTTCCCGGAAACGAGACGCTTAGGGCTCTTCTTTGCTTCCCGTGTCTTCCTCTGCGAGGACGAGTTGCGCCGCTGGATCGGTTCCGTTTGTTTCCGTCACGTTTTTCCGGTTTCGAAGGGGTCTTTATGGGGGCAGAGTCGAGGCGACCAGAGAATAAAGAGCAATACTTCTTCTACTCGCTTACTTTACTCGTTCCGTCACCTGCCTCACTATTGGCTAAACATACCAATAACTTGGTCTAATCGTAGATGGGTAGGGTAAACGAGGAGGAACTCAATAGGTCGGAAAGGTCGAGCGCTTGGGGTCCTTTCCCGGAAGACGGCCGAACACGTGGTTGGAGCGGAATGGCGATAACCATGTGGCCCACCGGCCGCCCATTTGCGCAGCCCGATGCGCTTCGGGCAAATTGACCGACCACGGGAAGAGATAACGTTGCGATGACATCACGAAGCTCTTTATGACGACAACCATTGGGTCCGTCACCGTGTTCCGTGACTTGGGCGAGCCACCGGGATCAAGATCTTACGCGTTGTGGATTAGTCCGATCCAGATCAAATCCAAACTAGACATCATTATCCGGTACGGTCGGATCCAATGTTCAGTAAACGAATCCTACTTTATCGTACGTAATAGGGGTTGGGTGCGGTCAGATCAAATTTGGGTCCATTCAATTGTAAATCTTTGTATCTATAGCAAGAGTTAGATTACAGATAGATTATGATTGTATCAAAAAAAGATAAATATTGTTGCTGATTTTATTAGCAAAATTTACATATTGATATCATATTGTCATAATATATTTTGGGCATATGGATGATGAAACAAACGCATCCATCAAGGTGAATCCTTGACGCTTGCATGGAAAATCTCAATCGTATCACCTGGTCTCACATCATGCCATCTGAATGATTTATCTTCCTCCATGGCGTTCTGCTTGTAGATGAAGAAATAGCCTTCGGGTGGCAAATCGAAGTTGAGAACGCCATGCAGTCTCTGCACCTCCTTCCGCAGCTCGCTCACGTTGTCCGACGCGTTCACCTCCACTGGTATCGTCTTCGCGCCGTGCTTCGGCAGCAGCAGCAGCCTCAGCTTCTTGGCGCCCAGCGACGGCCGCATCACCAGATTCATCCTCGAGTGGTCGGCGACGACGTAGTCGGCCAGCCTGCGGTGGTCCTGCAACTCGACGCCGCCGTGGAACAGCACGAACCGGTTCGGGGGGACGCCGCTGAGGTCGCGGACACGCTCCTTGAGGCGAGCCACGGTGTCGGCCGCGTCGGCCTCGAGCGTCAGCTGCCGCCGCGACGTCGGGGTGCTCACGGCCACGGTGATGCGGGCGCGGCCATCGCCGCTCTCCGGAAGCTTGCCGTCGGCGGCGTCTGCTGCAAGCGCGAGATGGATGCGGGAGTTCTGGAGGATGTTGTAGTGCTCGGTGTCGCGGTCGTCGGCGAGCTCTTGGCCTTGGAACACGAGCTTTTGGGTGGGGACGGGGTAGCCTTGATACTTCTGCACCTTCTCTTTGATCTCCAGGACCGTGTCGAAGAAGCCAATCTCGATGGTGAAGTACCTGCCGGTGGATGTCTCGAAGACGACGTCCATGTTTCTTTGGCTTCTTTACGTGGGTCAAAGATGGTGCCTTCGTCCTCCTCTTGTAGACTCGCTCCTCCACTGTGTACTCCATAGCATCCCGAGTAATCCGGTCTCTTGCCTGATCGAATCCTCTCTTTCCTATCTATCAACATTACCAATAAAAGAAAGAGAAAAATAAAATAGAATAAAATAAAATTCAAACTATTTCTTCCTCATCTTTTGTCTCCTCGAGGCTCTCATCAATTCATTCGGGATCTGCGGAGAATTGATGTGCAAAACATTAGTCATAGAAAAATTATTTATACGCTTCACACTTCAAAAACAAAGGAAATAAAACCCCCAAAGTATTTTCACGTTGAACAAAATTCATATAGTCGATCTCAATTATGTAGAGTATCAAATATGATAGGTACCATGTTCATCAAACTGGGATAAGATTCCAATGAGTAAATTCATGGACAATATATTTGTAATAACCCAGTGTTTCTAGATTAAATGGGTTTTTTTGCATATATTTTCATGGGCTGGTATGATTCTACCTGCTTGGATAACTCCACATTTACCTCAACATACACATCTTTGTGTCAGCAAGCTTTGGATCTGCCATCCCTTGATTGTCCAATGTTCTGACACATTCATTTCTAGTATTATAAGCATCAGCTTCATCCATGTCTCCTGCAAGTTAAATACAAGATCTAAGAAGACAACACAAGTATTAGTTTCTGGAACTTCATCCATCTGTGTCAATTATACCTCAGATTCTTCTCCTGATGCCAGTATAATTGCATCTCTTGTATGCTTCCTTAGCCTTAATCCCTGCATGGTGAAAAACCTGATCCCAAGTCTCTCTTTAGAAGGAAAAGAAATAAATAAGCTCCAAGAACAAAGTGGATTTGCCACCACATATGAATCTTGAAAAGGTGCTGGAACATGCTCAGCTTCAAGCTCATTGAAATAGTGAGGTTTTGCCATAATGGTAGAAACTGAAACTATTGAATTCCACATTTTATCCCAAATCTATTGACTCCGCATTCAAAGTTCAGAGATAATACACAAACAAATTATCTGGACACATCGAACACAGGAGCAACTACCATGATCATGATCATTCAATGGCAAATGCTTGAGAGTCTTAGCAAAGGACCAAAGTAAGGATCAATGTGCACATTGTCACCCCTACAAGCAGAAAAGATAAATGTATACATTCTTAGTTCCACCAGCTAAGAGGTTAATTCAATGACTCCAGAACTAATCACTAAGGTCATACAACAACAACATATGAGACCTAACGTTAAATGAATGGCTGCCACTTAGCTGTTTAACACAAAAAAGATACTTGTACAGATCTCAGTAGTTTAATCACCATAGTGTTGATTTACTTGAATGCATATATGGAATTATAGTGACATGAATTCCTTCGGTAGTTCATCTCATGCATCACATGAACACTCACCTTACTGGCTTGTGCAAAACATGAAAGGAAACCACGACCTGCAACCCAACCCTTCTCATCGGCTTGCTTCCATAACCAAAATGATCAGCATCAAGATCCCCGACTCCGTGGCGGCCGCCCACGTTCGACAAGGGGCGGAATCGGAGGGGACGGTGAGCCTGGGCTTCGGTTTTCGGAGTCAAGTGGGCGGCCAGCAGAGAGGCGTGCAGTGAGAGGAGTCGATGTGCTCGGGGATGGCCAACTCGCTCCTCTGCGCGGCCAGTGTCATCTGATTGAAGGCAAAAAAAACAGAGCAACGATCTGAGCGAAGACAATTACTAGGGTTAGGGTTGAGCGAGAGGCGGATTTATGGAGTAATTGCTAACTCAGCGTACGAAGCGAGGCATCGAGTCGGTGGATCTCCTGCTGCGGCCATCGGAGTGATTCTGTTAGGTTACTGTCGGAGCGAGAGAGCGCGAATTTGGGGATGATTTGTCTTTGATTGATATATATAGATATATATACACACACTTAATTACGTGGCGTCCCACACGAGACACACGTGGTGATGACCCGAATAGTATCAACGAAGGCCCATTAGTGAGTTGGGCTGAATTGATGGGACTCTATTAGTGGTTTATTAATTGGCATACATAATTTATTTCTGTTTTTTGCAAATGTTTAAATGGTATAGTGAAAATTTTAACATACGAATTTCTTATGCTGTATTAATGGTTTATTAAATGTGATTATCATCATAAATCATAACACCCTAATTTAGTGTTATGATAAAAGTATTAGGATTAATAAGTATTTTAGAAGTTCTAATTAGATTTTTTTAACTATTTGAGTAGAAAATCTAATTAAATTTAACTTTTTATCAAATTAGAATTAGAATTTAGATTAGAGACTTAAGATAGGACATGTCCTTAATTATTAAGATTTGAATTCAAATAGGAAGAATCCATACATACTTAGAATTATTCCTATAAACATATTTGAGAGGATATACAAAAAAAATAATTATGAGTGTAGAAAACTAAAAAAATTTATAGTTAAATTGAATTATAGGTTAGATTAGTATCCTATTACAAAGTAGGATTTAAATATTTTGTATCAGTTTCTTTTACTAAGGAAAGCCATCAACTTACTTTAAATCCACAATGGAGTTGACACAACTAGGAATCATTTGATCATCATTTTACTGTTCTCATCAATCACTACCAAAGAAGAACAAATCTCTCATCCATGGAGGAACCACAGTGGCCTTTGGCTCTTGGAGGCACCACAGGGCTGTTGTATCCACTGAGACAACAGGTGGAGAGGTGGTGTACACACACCATCAGGAAATGGAGAATCTGGTGATGTCAAAGGAAATCCAATTTCCAGATGACACCAAGCTCCATGTCCTTCTCATTCAACTTGAAGATCTTGAATAAGAACAACATCATATACATGTCTATCCATTCTTCCACCACCACCACCACCACCAGATGGACTGACTGTGACTTCTCAGCTCCATCACAGGATTGGTACTGAGCTTGTTGCAAGTGATCAGATTGCAGTCAATGTCAGATTTCATTCAGCAGCAAGCTCTCTAAATCTCTAACCAATATTCTAGATGACTTTGAATCCCTGCCTTACTTAGTACAAGTGGTATGATATGATCATTGTTATACTACTAAAACCTTGATACAAGTAGTTGACATTGGATCACACCTTCATAGGACAGACCTCTAAAACAAACCCTAAAAGAAAAACAGATTAGATTGGATCAGTTTTTTATGTTCGAGTTAATGATCAAAGCTAACTATAAGACAGTTCATAGTAACTCACATCCTATTTTTCTGATTTGAAACCCTAAAAGAAAGCATCAAAGTAGGGAGCTAATCATGCGGTATCGCAGGAAAGCAACTTCGTCGACCACAACGACATGACTAATCGAACTCCAGCTTTCCATTATTACCTCCCTTGTCTGAGCTTTAAGCCTGCTCACGTTTCCCAACCTGTTGGCTGCGTCCAATGGGGTGCCCGGAGAAGCCCCCCCCTCCCCCAAGGCGACGTGGGCGATCACGGGCCTCGCTCTTCTTGTGGCCATCTCTGCGACTGACCCGCGGCACATGAGAAGGGTCACGAGGGACGAAGCTCACGTCCCTGCTCGTCCTTTGCAGGATGTTTGAGAGCTGGCAAGGTTGCAGGACGCCATGAACGGATCAGTCGCTGGCCGCCACCGCGTCACATCATTGCATGAGTTTGAAGAAGATAAAATGCTTGCATGAGTAGGTATCTCTCTCTCTCTCTCTCTCTCTCTCTCAATCTGCAGGCAACTTGAAATTTGTCTGGCAATGCATCACATCACATCATGAGTAGGAAATAATTTTTTGGTAGTATCAGAAAAGAAAAGATTGTGAGATGAGTGCTCTAATCCAATCGAATATTAGAAAATATGATTTCCATTATGCATTTTGATTCACTCACATATCAATCATTTTGTGACAGCATAAGGTTTTAGATTGCATTGATGTACAGTGAGATGATAAAGCCCAATTCCGAAATCAAATTAAAGAACATGAAAGAATTTTCTTATTGTGCTATTAAATAAAGAATTATAACAATTTATGCCATGCAAGGCTTCACTATCTTATGATAGACAGATACAAGTCGTAATGATTTTCTTTTGAAGCATATGGTTACAAAATTCAAAACAAATTAATCGTTCAAACCAAAATAATCGAGAACTAAACCCCCGACCATTTCGATCAATCGTAGAAAAAAATTAATTTTCTTTTGTTTTTGAATTGAATGGTATATACTTTTTTTTTATCATAAGAATGAAAGAAAATTTTATTCTTATAATTGCTACTCTTTTATTCCCACAACGCATATGCTTTCGTGTAATCATCGCTACCATCCGTTTTCACTATATTACAAAAATTATATGAGGGTGAATTAAAAAAAATCCTAACTTTATCAATTTCTTATATAACAATCTAACTTTCATAAATTCACACTTAGGATTTTTTTTTTTGTCAAAATGATCATTCTATTCCGATCAGCCATCACCCTTCGCACTGCTTGCCTTCATATGCAGGTTGGTCCTATCGATCTTGCCTATACCTCCATGCACGTGATGTCTCTAGGGTCTAATAAGGATGGCTATGACTAGGTGATGCTCTTAGGGTTCGACGAGAGCATAAGGATTGTGTTGGATGCGACGTAGCGAGAAGAAGGTAGAGATTTTTTCAAAGTTCAAGATTTTTTCTAGCAATTCACTTGATTATATATACAATATTATTTTTATACTATAATAAAATATTTTTTTTCAAAAAATGATATACTGGACTCATTCATCAGAGTTTGAAACCTTATCCGATATATTCACTAGTGGTATACTGGACTTATTTATCAAAGATTGAGAATTCAAAATCTCATCCGATATATTTTTTCTGTAGGCAACAACTAACTTATCCTTTGCAAAAAATAAAAATAAAAATATATAATTATTACTATCAGACTAATTGACCTCACATATTCGATTAGTAATCCATTAATATAATACATGAGAAGATTGATGTCTGATGGATTATGATAACTATGTTTTGAATAAGAACATCTAAGTCAACATTCGGATAGACTTATGGCCTTAATCAAGAGAAAACAAATATAAAAAAAAGTATTAGGTGAGACTTTCAACAATCAGATAAGGTTCAACCACGTTGGTTAATCTTCCTACTGCTGTAAGGAGCAAACAGACATCACCTCTCTCTTTCAACCTGATGGATTATGTCTCTTTGGCTTTCAATCGAAGAAAAAGATGAGGAAGAAGAAGAAGATGATGATGATGATGGATGCCTTGTACATAATACTCCTTGAGGACCCCATCCAACCGTTCGATCAAGGAGGCGAGCGGTCTAGATGTAACTAAAGCAAAGAATGCAGGCTCTCCGTCGTATCAGCCATCAATGCGTGCAGCTGCGCCCGCCTTCTACCAGGGGAGAGGAAGTGGTGGGAAGAAGCCCGTCGACGACAAGGCGGGGCCGCGACGGGGACGCCGACGCTTTGTCCGGTTCTTCCCCTCGGCGGGCCACCAGGTGAAATCCGGTGAATGGACCGCTCGCCCAATGGCGTTCGAGGAAGCGGATGGCCTTCTCGACCTCCACCAATGCCGTTCGAGATAAGCCCCTTTAAGGGCCCCACAAGCTTCTTCCCGGCCTCTCATAGATCGACACGACGCCAAAAGCGCATTCCACGGGCCCCCACGCGCCCGCTTCCCCGTCCCGCGAACATATACCACTAATGCCGGTGCTGCACCTGCTTGCGTCGTCTTCCCTCGCTTTCCTCACTCTCTCCCTCGCTCCCTCCATCTGGTTGGGTAAGGAGAGCGCTGGCTTCTTCTCCGGCGATGGGATGCACCGAGAAGCAGCGCCCGGCCAGCGCGGTGGGCGCCAAGACGGCGCGACCCTGCGATGGTTGCCTCCGCCGACGCGCCCGGTGGTTCTGCGAGGCCGACGACGCCTTCCTTTGCCAGGCCTGCGACGTGTCCGTCCACTCCGCCAACCCTCTTGCCCGCCGCCATCGCCGCGTCCGCCTCAAGACTGCCTCCTTCTCCGGCTTTTTATCTACGACGGAGGATGGGTTGGGCGATCATGCGACACCCGCGTGGCTTCATGGCTGCAAGCGCAAGCCCAGAACCCCTCGTGGCAAGCCGGGGGTTGCCGGAGCACCCACGGCGGCCAAAGTGGAGCCCCTCGTGCCCGACCTCGAGGCGTTATCGGCGGAGGAGAACCAATTCAACGAGGAGGATCAGCTCCTCCACTGCGTGCCCATCCTTGACCCTGTTCTCGCCGAGCTATTATCCCAGCCTCACCACGACCACGCCAACGGTTCGGACACAGAGGCGAAGCCGGCCGTGCAGCTCTTGGAGCAGGCTCACGTCTCCGCCGTCCCCACCGCTGACGGTCTTGGGGGTTTTCATGCCTCGGACTTGGAGCTCGAGCAGTTTGCGTCGGACATGGAGGTCTTGCTTGGATCGGGGCTCGACAACGACTCCTTCTGCATCGACGGGCTGGGTTGGATGAACGGCACGGTGGAAGACGACAGCGACGGACAGGTGAAGGTGGAGGTGGACTTGGACGTCGCCAGGACGAGCAGCAATTTCAGAATGGAGATGGACCTTCCCAAGTGGAAACTGGACCTCGGTTTCGATTCACAGATGATGGCAGTCGAAGTGGACGAGCATAAGCCATTGCAGCAGGCGGAGACGGCTTCAGATAACTACAGGGCGGAGGCAGCCGCGAAGAGGAAGATGATACTGAGGCTGGACTACGAGGCTGTCATCGCCGCTTGCTCTTCTAATGTGTTGTCGCTGTGGATAGATGGGGTGAGACCGGATTTCGATCCCAACGATTCATGGCCGGACGTACCAGTAAGAGACCGCACCCTTCATGTAATACTAACCTCTTTATTTAGATGGCGATCGATCTTGAGATCTGTGTCACGTACAGGCGATGGCAGGAGGAGCAGCAGCGATGAAGGAGATGCATTATCAACAGGAGGTGGCTCACGCGGCGGACGAAGGAAGGGAGGCGAGGGTGTCGAGGTACCGGGAGAAGCGGAGGAGGAGGCTGTTCTCGAAGAAGATACGGTACGAGGTGCGGAAGCTGAACGCGGAGAAGCGGCCGAGGATGAAGGGCCGGTTTGTGAAGCGGCCGGCGTTCCCAGCCGCCTTAGCCTGTCGGTGAAACAGGAGCCGTCGAGCCCTTAGACTTGTAGAATACCTTAGAATAGTTAGTCGTCTCTCCTTTCTTATGCTGAGAAAGGGCAGATCTATTACCTACCACATGCAACCTTTAGAGCATGGCTACGTAGTTATCTGGAATTGCCTGCAAGAAGAGTAATAGTTTTTGTGCTGTCAGTGCAAGCAGGAATTAGCGTAGAATTATCAACGGTAGTTGATATGTTGTATAGATATGAAGAAATTTGGGACTCTCTACTACAGTACTAGTACATGAAATTTGCTGAAGCAACTGTGAAGATTGAGATCACACCTCTGAAGTTTATTTGGAGTAAAGGTGTGACAGGAAAATTTATCTTTATCATTTTAACTTTGAGGATCATTTTATGACTATGAACTGTTTAAAAGAACATTCAGATTTGAAGTTAATGACAGGGAAAAAAGGAACAATAATTATTAATATCTAATTGGATAAGTGCAACTAAGTCCCACAATAATCAGGATTAAAAAGTTACTATGAAAGAAAGAAATACCTACATGATTATAAGAATGTCGAAGTCGCTAGCTAGCTAGCTTATCCAATAAAAGCTTGGTTGGATCATTGTATCAAAATCCACCTTCTTTGTTTACCCTTTATAAAAAAAAAATTCATGTGAGCATTAAAATAAAACAAAAACTTGTGATATCATAGACAAACATATACATACATACATACGTACATACACAACTCACAAAACATAAAGATATGTAAAAACAAGGCATTCACATGCATTCGTACAAAATAGCTGCAAAAGTCACAAAGATGGTAATCTCCACTTGCAAGAGACATTAGAGTAAAAGGACATGAGATCCATTCACCAATGATGGTCCATTTGAATGCCAAGGACCAGTTCTCACACCCCTTTCTTTCTCTCTTCCTTTCTTGTACAACAGACAACTATTCCATCATCGCAAACAGGCAAATTAACAGAGAATTCCAATCAAATGGAAGATTTGTAATTTCCCTCTTTGTATAGCTGTTCCAAGTAATGCTCATTCGATGGAGAATGAACCATACGGAACTAGAAAGGACTCTCACCATTCGGCTAAAATTGTAGGCAGCCATTGGGAAACTGGCCCACAGGGTGAAAAACACCAGCCTGGAGTTGTCCTGAGCCTGCATCTTATGAAATGAAAAGAATTTAAACCAAGAGTCAGCAACCAGTAATAAACCAAAACCAGTTTTTCATGAGATGTTTTTCACTTACATTTACAAGATGTACATGAGACGAAGTTCTCTAAGAAATTGTCCAAATCAAACAACTTGCAAAGGAACACAATTTAAGTTCCGGTTTTTGGTCGTGGATCCTCCTTCCAACCTTTGCTGAGTAGATCATAGTTGATTGATGCAAGCTGTGATAGATTCTAATCACCAAAGACAAAAAAAGGTTCAGTATCAAGTTAATGGAAAGTGCATAAAATATATATACTAGAATGGTTCTTCTTTGAAAGAATGCAAACTTCAGCTTATTTTGTTATTTTCACTAAGGCATCATACCAAATATTTGCAATGCAGATTTATGAGAAGCAGATTCATGTAAATAACAGTTCAACTTCATGGAACTTAAACAGATGTCGATGTAATATATATTAAAACAAGTCCAAAAATATTTGATTACCAAATTAAAATAATCCAAACCTGGCCCCTCCAAAAACAGTCCAAATCAACAAATTAGAACAAGGTCGATTACCAAGTCAGCATGGCTCTTTCCATCCCCATGTTTCCAAAGACGACATTACATATAAATACTGGTGTCAGCTGCTTTTGCACCAGAAGCCAGTTTCACAATTATATGCAAGATACTATTGGCAATTCGAGTGCTTGACCATATAGTAGGGCACTTTTAGTACCTTATTTTTCAAGAAACAATTTTGCAGAAAATTGTTGCAAGTTGCAACAGCATGCACAGTTTTTTTTTTGGTTAACTACAATTTAGGGTTTTGTTGTCATCAAAAAGACTGAATATTAAGGAAACTTTTACTATATAATTTTGAAGAAAAATTGAAATCTTCTTCCTCTTGATGACAAATGGAAAGCTAACAAGTTTATTTAGCTCAAGCATGTCAAAGATCCAGGAGAGCATACAGACACAACTGTTGATATCATTAATGGATAAAGACAGCATGAGCTTTTTGAACCTGTCATATATTTCTTGGTCAAATGAGTTTAGAAACAGGTTAGTCCATATCCACAACCTCAGAGCTAGTGTCCAAAACTTGGACCCAAACAATACTTGTGTGACCTGAACGCTTCTTATTTTGTTAGGCTAAGTCAATCAGAAGGGTCAAGCAAACTACTGCCACCACTACATAAAGAGATCAAGACAACAAAACACAACACACTAGCAAAATAATATTTAATACATTGACCAGCAATGTCTGTTGAATGTTAAATGTCAAAAGACTACGAGTAACATCTCAACCAAACCAATCATATTTAAAATGAAAATTCCAGAACAAAAGTTTTACTCTTTATCCCAGAGTGGCCAATTCTAGCACCTCACAAATAAATGTATTTACTGCTCAAAATTAGAACAGAAAATGATACCGCTAGCTACTAGCATCTCGTATGATTCTAGGGAAAGATTAAATAGGCAGCCAGACTGGACCATAAGTACGGTACCACTCAAACCCCAGAGAGAGAGAGAGAGAGAGAGAGAGAGAGAGAGAGAGAGAGAAGGAAATGATGCATACCAATAGTAGGCAAAACATAAAGGCAGGATGCAGTGGCAACGAGGAGTCGGTGAAGAACAAGAGAAAAAATATGGGGCGGCAGTGGAAGTAGAGAGAGAAGGAAATTAAAAAAAAAAAAAAACTTGTCAATAGCTGTCTGGTAAGCCCAATATGGTGTATGCATTGAGCTCTAAAAGGAGCTGCTTAATATGTGTCCAGGTTATAAAAGAAAATAAGAAACTGCAGAAGCTTTCAGAATCGTTCACTAGACCCCAAAGCATTAAGATGATCAAATCTTCTTCTAGTTCCTCTGCTGCAGCTAGATAATGATGTATGATTTAGCTGATTATCACAGATCTTTTGAACAAATCTATATAATTGCTTTCTTCACCTGTTTTCCACTACCTATTTTACTTGTAACACCACAGAAAGTAATCAACACCAGAAGAAATTAATATGATTGTGCTAATTACCTTGAAAGAGAAGTTACTAAATGAATAATTGACGGATGTACTGGAATCAAACTCAGCAAGACCTCCACACTCATCACCCTGTTTGTCATTATTTACAAAAAAAATATCAATGTCCATTGTAACAAAAAGGCATTAAATAATCAATAACAAAAATGATTTTGGAAAATGGCAGTAGAAAGATTTTTAGTGTACAAAAAATGACGAAACCATTATTTTCATGAACAAAATCATCAGTTCAAAAAATAAAACCACAATCACACTTGCATACCAGTTCATCATGGGGGTTGCTTAAGCAACTACTGTTTCCACTTATGCTTCCATTATCACTAGAATCTTCAAATTCACTGGTTTCATATATCTGTTCGTCTGATGGATTCCAAGAAAAACGGCTAGTGAAGTAGCTGGTATCAAAGGCATTATCCGATGAAGGAACAAATGCAGCCTGCAAAAGTGGCAGCATTAGTACACTTAATTTTAAGTATCTGATACAGCAAATAGTATGACTGTAATTGACATCACCTTCTGCCTTGCAAGTGTGTCCCAATTTATATCTTTGAAAAACACATGTTGCTTGACCTGGAAAATTTGATTCAGAATATAAGTCTATGGACCTCACCATACATTATCAGACATGCAGCCATAATTGCAGCAATTATATAAAGTCAAGTTAGCGTACTTCTGATGCACCATTGGCTCCAAGTCTTTGATGAGGATCCTCAGTCAATAAGCTGCAAGGAGTTGACAACAATAGAAAATCAACACTAAGTCAGAACCGTGTGCAACAATCATCTGGAGGACCTTCAAATGAATTAACAAACTACTAGAGGACTTTGATAGCTATGCAAATATTGCTTGACATGAGCATGCAAGAGAGCAAGCAATTAAACATTTAATAGTCTACATCTTGTATATGTTAATTACTAAAGTCAATTACTATAGAAATTCAATTACAACTACATGACTCCAGTTCACCTGGACTTATAAGCATCACAGAACCATAGAGCTTCAGACCCTCCACCAGTTTATGAAATTTAGTACAAGAATAAATGACAATGCAAGATTTCCTGCTAAAATTTTGACAATCTATGCAATGAAAGGTCCAAGGTCTGTCATACCGAATCGTACCCAGTGCACTGTAGCAATACTACAGTGCTCGGTGAACCTGAGTGTACCGCTCGATACACCTGGATGTATCACTCGGTACACCGTACCGTACCGGTACCGAGCTCAAATCGAAATACTGGTACGATACGGGTATTGCGAACCTTGGAAAGATCTATCAATAATATACACCATAATCATTAATATCATAACAGAAATTGCAAACAGAATTCAAAAAATCAGAAATTTCTATCCCCTGAGTTATTCAAAAAAGTGGAAGACATTAATAATAAAAGAGCATACCAAGTACACAAGGCTCTAGCCAATAGAGGGTATGGGAAGGGCCAATGTATATAGCCATACCTTTAAATATTTAAAAAAGACTATTTCCACGACTCAAACCTTGGTTTCCCAGATCGCAAAGGAGCAACCTAACCATTGTACCAAGTCCCGCCATCAAGTAGAAGACATTAATCATGAACAATTTTAATGATGACAAATAACATTGAGATTTCAAGCTATATTAAGTGTTAAGCTTTATTATGTACATTATTTCAAACTATATTATGATGTCAAACAATGATCAAATAACTATCCTTCATCACTAGAATGTACTCGGGAAAACTACAAATTAAGTCCCCGAGCATTAACTTAAGAAGCATTGTGTCCTAGGTATGGTAGGTGCATGTGAAGTCAGGGAACAAACCTAAATGAAATAAATAATTATAAACATTAACAAGTTTCAAAAAAACTTCCATATAATCAAGAAGAACAATTTCTGCAGGAAAGTCAACTACAATTTTGCTTAATCCAATTCACAAGGTACATATAACAGCATGCTTCTCTAAAGTGCAGAATAGGTTATCTCTTACTTGTCAATAAGATCTTGGGCCTCAAAACTCATCTCTTCATGTACTCGCGGCCAAGGTATTTTACGATTCAGAATATTGTCAAAAATTTTCTACAAGTATAAACAACCAACAAAGAGAAATTGGTAACTCTCATTTAGGGAAAAAATGAT